GGATTTATGTTAACTAATATATGGCATGAACTAACACATGTGGATATGGGTTGTAACACAAATATTCTTCAAGAAAAAGGAAAGAACTTTTTTTTAATATTGACTGATTTTGTGATGTTTCTTTCTCCAGCATGTATGTTTACTTTATTATATATGTAAGTAAACTTTTATTTGGTTCTGTAAACTCTTTTTTGTTATTTAGATAAACATATACGTGTACCCTATATATTACATTTATTTAAAAAAAAATTGTTTATTCAAATCTAGCTACAGTGTTCAAAAAACTATACTTATAGGATTTTAAATGTGAAAGAGTTTTATAGTTATATGGAGTAATTTTTTTTTTATTGCTAGAGGCAAAGTAGTATTTAAATAATTAGAAAAAATTACAAAAGTTCCTAACATGATTGCGTATGATCATTAACCGAATTAAGTATGATAACATGATAAAAAAATAAATTTTATTTTTAATTTAAATTCAAATTTTAGAACTTTATCTATAAATTGAAACTTATCTTTTAATTCAAATTCTCTCTCTCTCTCTCTCTCTATATATATTATATTATATTATATTATATTATATTATATTATATTATATTATATTATATTATATTATATTATATTATATTTGTATTTAACTAAAATAGTCAAATATAGAATAAAGTTACCATATACTATTGACATTTATTAGCTTGCCACTTGGCTTAACCATAATGTCAACTATATATGGTAACTTTCTTGCTTTAATATATATATATATATATATATATATAGATATAGATATAGATAGTGGTTCGGATTTTTTTTTTGGCCGGTATATATAAATTATATATTAATTATAATACGTGAATTTATTTAATATATATTATATATTTGTTGGTTCTTTTAGTATAAACAATTGAGTGTGTGGCTATTTGAGTTAATTTAGAAGTTAGGAGTTTAAGTTTTGTACATTAATAAAATAAATTTTTTACACTAACAGGTTAAGTTAACTACAACGACAGGTAACCTTTCATAACAAGTACCCTATAATAGAAGCGGAGCCAAGATTTTAAGCTTATGGGTTCGAGAGTCAAATTTTTTTAAATTACTAGGTTCTAAATTAATACTTAATTTATACATATTCAATAAACTCTCTAAGATAGATACTTGGTTTTAATCAAAGTTACTAGATTCGGTCGAACTCATAGTCGGCACTCTGGCTCCGCCCCTGCTCCATAACAGATAACTTGAAATATAAAGTAACAACATATTATATCAAGTTAAATTGCAGTAACAGGATAACATTTTTCTTATGGTCAGTACATGTAACTTAAATCCTAAAAGTTCAAATTATTTATCTGGTATAACCACTTGTTCAGCCTGTATTTTAAATATTCGCCACAATTTGAAATTTTTTGCAAATATAGCCACTTTAAATAATCCTCGTAAAAGGCTCTAGTTCTGAGAGTGGTCATCCAATAGAAGTTCGTCGTCTCAAGAAAAACTCCTAACATGCACTCAAAGCATGTTTTACTATTGTAGTACTAACAATTTTGGAGACGCTTTGGTCACAATTGAAGACATGTTTTATCTCCGGTTCTGGCGAGTTGAAGTGATTATTATATCGAGTTGTAACCAGTGGCGGAGCCAGAGTTTTCATTAAGGAGAGTCAAAATATAAAAAAATAAACTCATCAAGAATATATATATATATATATATATATATATTAAAAATTACTAAGCTATACAGTGTAATTTTCCGGCGATGGGTGTTTGTTGACACCCCTTTGGTGCATGTAGCTCCGCCACTGGTTATAACAATCAAAAGATATCTCATTTTGAGCATTTTGAAAATTAATTTTATTATCCTGGTTCTAACACTTTTCTTGCTTTTTAACTGCGGTGTCCGAGTCAGCTCGCATACAACTCAACTAATTTCACGGAATACTTGCTATCTCCCAACAATATAGATATCGGGTAACTCTATCCACCAACGCTTGTACCAGGTAACTCTTGTTTTCTAAACAATATTGAAGTATTGTGAGGTAATGAACTCAAAACAGAAGAGGAAGCAGTATGGAGAACAACTAGTCTGAAAGCTTACTAGTCTAAAATCTTTGAGCAATCAGCAATATGTAACTATCATATGCAAATGATATCACACATTGTCACCTTAACAATTCCAGTAGATCCTTTTGATCCTCAAGTTCTACTGAACTACTACCCAAGTCCTTTGATAGTCCCCTCTCTTTCATCATAGCTCGAATTTTCTCCGCGTCATTCCACCTTCCCATTTCACCATATAAATTAGCCAAGACAACGTAATAGGCCGAATTCTTAGGTGCCAATCCGACAAGTTTCCAAGCTGCAAACTCACTCATTTCTTGATTGCCATGAAGTCTGCAGCCAGCAAGCAGTGCACCCCAAACGCTCTTCGTAGGTTCCATTGGCATCTCTTTGATCATCCTAAATGCGTCTTCTAAATGCCCATAGCGTGCTAATAGATCAACCATACATGCATAGTGTTTCACACCAGGTGGAAATCCATACTTCCCATTCATCAGCCAAGAAAAGATTTCTCTACCCTGTTCAACCATTCCGGAATATGCACAAGCACAAAGCACAGCAACTAATGTCACTTCATCAGGGCTGACATTTTCGCGCTCCATGATAAAGAACAATGGTACCGCCTCCTCCCCACTTTTAGCCAATGCCAACCCTCTGATCACAGCATTCCAAGTATACACATTCTTCTGTTTCATTTCTTGAAATACCCAAAAACCATATTCAATTTTCCCACATTTCCCATACATATCTATCAAAGAAGTACCTAATATCACATCCAATTCCCACCCACTCCTTATATAGTCATGTATCCACATACCCATATCCAAAGCACCAAAATTAGCACAAGTAGACAATGCATTCACCATCGTCACCCGATTCGGTGCCACACCCGCATTTCTCATTTGCTCAAACACAACAAGCGCATCATCATACTTCCCACAATCTTTATAACCCATAATCATAACTGTCCAAGAAACAACATCTCTGTGAGGCATTTCGTCGAACTGTTGTTTACACAAATCAATCTTGCCACATGAAGCATACAAATTCAATAACGAGTTTTGAACATAAATATCACAAGCATGACCCCATTTTACGATGTGAGTATGTACAGATTGGCCTAGTTTCAGCTCCTTAAGATCAGACAAAGACTTAAGAACAAAAGGGAAAGTATAATTATTCGGAAAAATGGCTTCTGTATGCATGTGGGCATACATAGAAATGGAGTTTCGTTTCAGTGTAACTTCTGTTTGTGAAAATGCTTGAATGAGAGTGTTGCAAATGAAGATGTGTGGTTTCTTGATAAGTTTGGTGTAAAGGGTGAAAGCAGAGTTTAAGAGACCTAAAGATTGGCAAGCTGAGATGAAGTTATGGGCAATGGTAGTGTTGAAATGGAGATTGTGGAGAATGAGTTGAGTTTGAATTTGGGAAATATGAGCAGGTGAAATACAGGTTTTGTTCAAGAGATGAAGGATTTTTGTTGCTAAATTGTTAAGCTGTTGATATGATTTTGATGTCATTGGAAAGTTTGAGCCTTTACCATTTCTTTCTTTGAAGCATGAAATATGTATTGATTTTTGATCGGCTGCGACATTGGAAATTCAAACTTTTAAAGCCCTTTATTTTATTTATTTTATTTTGTGTTCGTATATCGAGTTTGAGATTAGTGGTGGAGCCAAAAATTTTACTAAAGAATATTAAAATATAAAAAAGTAAGCACCACAAAAAAAATAAGGGGAGCCAACATATAGTATATATATATATAAGAAAAACAAAGTTACACAATGTAATTTTTTAGAGTGTCAGTTGACACCCCTTACACAATTGTTTGAGATTCAACTAATTCGAATTGACACTTTCGGAAAGTCTCACTTTGAGGATAAAGTATTCCTTATCAAAATTGACTCTGTTCCGAGGCTCGAACTCGATACATTTTAGTATGATGGAGTACCTTTATTCTACAACAATCTTTGATGGTAACTTTTGAGCCATGTCTCTTCATCTTCTGGTATTAGTGTTTGTTTGGATTGGCGTATTTTAAGTGATTTCAAAGCAAAATAGTTTTTAAGTCATTTTGTAATATTTGAATAAAATAAAAAGTGCTTGTAAGTACTTATTTTTAAGTTAAAATGACAAAAAATAAATCAAAAGCTAGAATTCCTAATTTATAGCTTATGCTTAAAAGTCACTTAAAATAAGTCCATCCAAAGGAGAATGAAACTTGGTCAAATGGAGCGAAATGAATTTTGAGCATTTATATAACTAGCAATAGTTGTTTTTTTCTTTTTTGTTGTTGTTATGTTCGGTTTGATATTTCGATTTAATCCAATACAGCACACCCTTACTTAGGGGTGGCAAACGGGTAAGTTGGATCAGATATGAGCAAGTCGAACATGGGTAACACAAAAATAGATAAATTTTTTGACCCGATCCATATTTAATACGGATAAAAAAGGGGTTAACCGGCAGATAATATGGATATCCATATTATCCATGACTTATATGAATATGATTACTTTTGGAAAAATTCTTAGTCCCCTAAACTTGAGGTATCCAATTTGAGACTATACAAATGTAAAAGTTAAACCCATCAGTTATTCATTGGTATCCATTTTCTAAGTGGATAATATGATTCTTATTCATATTTGATCTGTTTTTTAAAAGTTCATTATTTCACCCATTTTTAATGAATAATATGAGTGGATAATTATTTTCTTTGAACCATTTTACCGCCACTACCTTTAGGGGTCGTTTGGTATGAGGTATAAGGAGGTATACAAGTGGTATAAAAATTTGTACTATGTTTGGTTAGCAAACCAGGTATAAGTTATCTCGGTATTAATTTTAATACCGGAATAACTTATACTTACAGATGGTGGAGTAATTAACACCAGTATAACTTATACCTTCTTCTTAGAAATTATGCAATTGTCATTCTTAATAAAACATACCAAACATTAAATAAATAACAATTCCAACATAACTAATCCCAACATAACTTGTACCGGCATAAGCCGTATTCCAACCAAACGACCCATTACTCTATTACTTTCACGTGCATGATTCCTAATAGCATGTTTAATTTGAAACTAATATTTTATCTATAAAATGTTTTACCCCAACAAAGTATGACTTACCGTAAAGTAATTATAACTGAAAGAAATTTAGGTAGCTATTCCAAGCCGTAGGAAAATCAGGTAACTAAGATTATTATTAATATAATATTGAATTGTTTAAGATTTGGTACTTATTACTAGTTTATTTAATTTATATTTGTATAGGTTTGGTAATCAAACTCTAAATAGGTTTCCTATTCCTATTAGAAGTGGGTTTAATACTAATACAAATATGGGTAAATAATGAGATTATGAATGAATGAAACCAAAACAAGTTCATAATTCACAATCCAAACCTAAGCATGAACTCATCGAAGAACAGCTCCTCCGCCGGTAGCATCGGCGGCAACGGAATAATAAACCCTATATACTACGATGCATCACCGGCCAACGCCGCCGCTACCACCGCCGTTTCACTGGCCGAGGATTTGAAACAAAATCTCAATCAAAGCATAGATTCAATCGAGAAAACCCTAGGAATTCTCCACAAGCTTTATCTCACCGTTTCCTCTCAACTTCTCCTTATTCAACGCCTGAATAATCTTGTGCTGGAGCTTGATAATATGGCGACATTCGGAGAAAAATGCAATATTCAAGTGCCTATAGAGGTCCTGAACTTGATTGATAATGGGAAAAATCCAGATGAATTTACGAGAGATGTGTTAAACAATTGCATTGTCAAAAACCAAATTACTCAGGGGAAAACAGATGCATTTAAGGGTTTGCGTCGGCATCTACTGGAAGAGCTTGAACAGACTTTTCCTGAGGAAGCGGAAGCTTATGGGGAGATTCGGGCAGCATCTGCAGCAGGAGCGGACGTAGCGCTTGGATCGCGGGTTCAATTGAATCCATAATTTTCGATATACTATGAATTTCTATGTTAAAAATTACCAAAATCAAGTATTAGGCAGGTTTTTGGACAAAAACTGTGAAATTTCGGGAAAAAGTGGGGAAAAAATTTAAAGTTGAAAATGGTATTTTAAAATTAAAGTTGTATATGTTTGGACATGAATACAATTTGGAGCTATTTTTGAAATTTTATGAGTGCTTTAAATTGAAAATTTTGAAAAATATCTTTTTGGAGTTTTTCAAATTTCGAAAAAAGTTTTAAAATTGAATTTCAAGTGAAATTTGAAATTTTCATGGCCTTTACTGATTTTGAAAAAAAGAATTTTTTTATGGCCAAACGAACCCTAGATTTAAACCCGTAATTTTAATAATATAATGAAATTAATACTACAAAATCTGAAAAGGTGAACCTATTAAATTAAAATTCTGAATCCACCTCTATTTTGCAGCGGAAGCAAAACGCTTTGGCCCAAGCACAAAGTATATTACCACCAAAATGTGAAAACAAGATAAAATTGTCACAACAAAAATATGAACAGAGTTAGAGAATGCATTTAATCTATTTACGGTATGTCATCCGATGTTCGATACTCCCTCCGGTCTACAATAAGTAATCTTTTGACATAGAGGTGTCAATGGATATTTAAAAACCAACCAAACGATACCGTATCAAACTGATTTTTAGGTTTTTTTTAATTAAAATCGTAGGTTTTTATATAAATTTATAACTGTACCGATAATTAGGGTAGCTTTTTTATATTATGAAAATAAATCGAAAATGTGCTGAATAAATCTAGATAAGAAAATATACTTATATATTAAGTTTAAAAATAATAAAGCATTAATTTTTTTTTGGACATTGAAATTATGAAAACAGTTACAAGACAACAAGTAATTAAAGTCAAAATCCAAATTCCCAACCTATTAAACTAAACTATTTCCAGCATATTCACTAGTAAGACACAAGGTATTCTAGTGATTATGAGTAGAAAACTACAATGTATTGAATATGTTTTCTTTAGTATGATTTAACTTTATATTTTCGAATATTTAATCTTCTATAAACTTTATTCTTGAGTCTCAACTTACTTAATATCTTTTAACTCGTATGATTTATATTTTTTTTGGCTTTAGATCTATACTCTAGTCATCTTTCATGTTTTCTTAATTCATCACCCTTTAAATAGTAAAATGTCTAGAGAGTTTTGCTAAGTCCTATAAAAGTACGTATGTTATTACATTCTGTTTCTACTAGTGACTTTTAAATGAGATTTAAAAAATAACAAAAATTAATCGAACCGAGAGAGTAACCGATATGATTGGTACGGTTTCTCAAAGTCTAAGTTTGATTATACATAATAGCATAACCGAAAAATTTGTATGGTACAAATTTTATAAAATAACTGACCGAACCGAATCATTGACACCCCTATTTTGACCTTTGGCACACCTCTCAAGAAAATACTAACTCTTAGAAATTAAATAAGTATTTTGACTAAATTACCCTTAATTGAACTTTGTATATTGGTAACTTGACACATTGGGATACAAAAATAAGGGCAAATTTAAAAAACAGAGGTTAATTCATTCTTGATTATATAAAAAGGACATTTATTTTGAACCAAAATACAAAGACCAAAAGATCACTTATTATGGACCGAAGGGAGTATCTGTTAGTTTGGCTAATCAATTTAATCAAATCTTCAAAAATAACTTTCCCAAACTTCTCGACCTTTAAAAAAGAAATAAGTGCTGATGTTAGTGTTAAATAGCAATGTTTTAAAAGGTGGGGGCGCGAGGCGAGGCGTTTTACCTCTAACGAGGCGAGGCGTAAGTCCTGAGACATGGGGCGTAAGTCCCACTGATCTTTAATTTTACTAATTTCAAAAATTTTAAGAAAGTATAAAATAAAAAATAATTATAAAAATTACATTAAAATCACAAAATTATAACAAATAATCTATTTAAAATATTTATAAATTATAATTCAACTATGAATAATGCGAAAAGTATGACATATATCATAATATGCAAATTAGCTGCAACGTCGTTACAACTCAAACATCAAAAGTAATGTATTCGATACGAAATCCTATATGTATCTCTTAAGGACGATATTATAATTTTATATTTTTCTTAAAATACTCCTTTTATTTAATATGCTTTCTATTTGAAAGAGAATTTATATAAAAACATAATTCACAATTTAAATATGATTCTCTAGCATCAATTATTTTTAAGTTTCAACAAGTTAATAAAGTGACACATAATTCACCATATGTTACCATGATAACTAATTATTTGTAAATAGTTACTAGCTAATACTGAGCTATTAAATTAATAAGTATTGTATCTCGTAAACATGATAAAAATAATTATAAAAAAATTATGGATCATATTATATAGTAAAGACGTAACAAAAGTTAATAAGTAAATACTTTTTAAAATGAAAGATTTATTTAAAATTAACTATCATAGCAGTCTTAGTGGATAGTGTGTAATAATTTTTATTTTAATTATGACATAAAATACTCTCAACTTAATGATTTATGATTAAGAAAAAAGTAATTTTGAATAGTCAACGATTTATTAAGAAAATTTGAGGATTTATAAGGTTAATTATATACAATTGCATAAAGTTCTATTAGGCGAGCCCAGTACGTTGGGCGTTGGGCGTGTCCGGAGCGTAAGCCCCGATGGCCGAGGCGTAAGTCTCGCGGAACTAAGCCCCACACATAAGCCCAGGGGCGTTTACGAGTGCTCCGCCCGGGGCGAGTCCCGGACGAGTCCCAATTATGCCTTTTAAAATAGAGTTAAATAGTACTGTAATTTCAAGTTTCATGCATATTGATTAATTTGGTTCTTTTTTTTTAAAATAAAAAAAATGTTACGTGCTATTTGTTTTCCTTTTCTTCCTAAAGAATTAATGGTCGCATATAAGATTTTATTAGTCCTGTCATAAATATCAATGAGAAAAAAAATCTCATATTTTGCTGAGAAGAAACTACCTATACTCCAATAGTTGTGTGTTAATGTGCCTTGATTACACATAGGACCTACTAAATACCTAACTAGACTAGAGCAATTTTATTTCCATTTTGATGAATTTCAGAATAAAAAGATCTTCAAGTAAAATAAAGATACAAAATTCCAGTGATCAATTATGTTCTTTTTTGTCCGACTAATTCGAATTCGCGTCAAACAAAAGTGTTCAAATAACACCGTAAATCGAACCATACTGATAAATTGAGTCAGACGGAAAAAGAAAAATCGATTTAGGTTTGATTTAGTTTGATTTGATGATGAATTCAAAAAAATTACAGTAATTAGTTTGGTTTGGTATATGTGATTAAAAAACTTAATTTCCAACTAAATACTCCCTAGGTTATTAAAGGAATTACAAACTAAAATTTGGTCTTATTTGCTATAATAAAGATGCTAAGATCAAGAGACTATACATATGGAAGCACATCCAACTTATATGTTTTATATTTTATCATACTATTTCCAACTTAAGGGTACTAAATTTAACCTAGATTCACATATCAATTTATATCTAGATTATTGGAGGTTTGACGAAACTCAAAAGTCAAACCAAAATCAACCACTTTTTTTTTCTTTTTAACCCCTCCCAAATTAGGAGGATCTATAGTGTTTCTACACTTCCCCTCCATGGTGACTCGAACCCAAGACCTAACGGTCGTAGGTGGAGGTGCTTTTACCAACTGAGCAAGCCTCACTTGTCAAAATCAACCACTTTTTTTTTCTTTTTAACCCCTCCCAAATTAGGAGGATCTATAGTGTTTCTACACTTCCCCTCCATGGTGACTCGAACCCAAGACCTAACGGTCGTAGGTGGAGGTGCTTTTACCAACTGAGCAAGCCTCACTTGTCAAAATCAACCACTTTGGTTTAAGGTTTGGGTTGTTAAGTAAGTTAATATCACGCGGAAATGGTAGAATTTTCTAACTTCACGTTAGGTTTTGATGAAAGAAGCAACGATATCACCATATAGAAACCCTGAACTCAAAACCATGAATGGTGAATTCATTAATTGCTTTCACTCTTGATCACACAAATATATGTTACATCAAACAAAATTATAATTCACCGTTACATCAAAATAATAAATATTGTTGTCTTCTATGTAGCATGGGTCATGTTTCGCAAACCATAAATATAATATGGTCGCTCATCTAATATAAAATTATTAAGTGAAATCTCACCGTATTTTGCTCCTACCATAGTCAAAAGGGATGTGACAGGTTTGATATTGCAAGAAAATGGTGTTAAAGCAACCAACAACGCATTCCTCCTTATTTATAGTAACTTTAAAGGTTGGACAACTTTGTTTTTATGGTATTTATGTTATGTTGTAGATTTAATGATATTTTATGTTGTTTTATTATGAGTCTATTGATAGTACTAATATAGTGTCTCTTGTTGCCTCTTTGAGCCGAGGGTCTCCTAGAAACAGCCTCTCTGCCCCTCGGGTAGAGGTAAGGTCTGCGTACATATTACCCTCCCCAGACCCCACTTGTGGGATTACACTAGGTTGTTGTTGTTGTTGTTGTTGTAAAGGTTGGACAACTTATTTATACGGAGAAGGGTCAGATATACCCTTGTATTATGAAAAAATGTTTAAGTATATTCCTCATTATACTTTCGGTCTATATATACCCCTACCGTAATACTAGTGGTTCAAATATACCCTTCTTCCATTAAGTTTGTCCAAGGTGGATATCCAATCCTATATGGCACTAAGATTTGATGAGGTGGGTGTTATGTGGCATGTCACCTCAACGCCCCTAACCCATTTTACCACTCCCTTCTATTTTTTTTTTATCACTAAACTTTCCATCCCCTCGAAGAAAATTTTAGTGGCGGAAAAATAAATATAGAGGAGAGATAAAATGGGTTAGGGGTGCTGAGGAGACATGCCACGTAGCATCCACCTCATCAAATGTTAGTGCCACGTAGGATTGGATGTCAACCTTGCACAAACTTAATGGAAGAGGGGTATATTTGAACTAATAGTATTACGGTAGAGGTATATTTGGATCGAAAATATAATAAGGGGTATATTTAAATCTTATTTCATTTTACAAGGATATATTTGGCCCATCTCCGTTATTTATATGACACCACTTACAAAAAGTTATGCGTATGCCACTAATTATTACTATATTACATACGTGGCTTTGATTGAAAAAACTTTTTGGTACATATTATGCAGAGTGTACCTAATTCATCTCCAAAGTTGAAGGGGATAATATCTTCAACAGCAGTATATATATCAAAATAAGGAGGAAAGGGATGTCTTTAACAGTATCCTTTACTTCCTCTTTTTGTTGGGGGATCATTGAACAGTTGGAGAATTTGGACCAAGCAAATTCAAAATATTTGTACAATTTAATACAATTTGGACCAAGCAAATCATTTGTACAACTAGCTACCGACACTCAAAATATATCTTACTGTGCCTAAGTAAAATAATGGAGAAAATATGTCATGTCAATTCAACACGGGCGTAGACACCGTGCTTGAAGCGATGTTACGTGATTCCGTTTCATGGGAATTTTTTCGTAATCCATATGTATAAATAATATATAAAACTAAAATATTGCATACGAATATAAAAAATGATACAACTTGCCATTACAGTAATTTATTTAGTTGTTCATTTCTTCAAATATTGACACTGCTTATGAAAATTCCTGCATACGCCACCACACATCGGCATGTGATTCAAGTTATTGTAAGTCTCTTATGCATTATAGTACATAACTTTTGAGCCTAACAAATAGGATAATTACATTTTCCTCATGATATCCTGTTTGAAAAACATAAGATTGCTTCCAGGTTAAGAGGTTATCCCAGGATTATGATTATGGAATTATTAATTAGAGTAATCATTGACGGGTACGAAGTTAAAGAAAAAAAACATGTGTTCTATAACAAATAATAAGCATTTGTGTGACTGTAAATTATTACATTAATATCAAAAATTAAAATAATAAAATAAAATTATTTTTTAATAAAAAAATATGACATTCTTATTGAAACAAACGAAAAAGAAAAATATGAAATACAAATTGAGACAAGGTTACCATGCTTAGGAGCTTAACTAAATAGAACTTTGATCTCTCTCTGCACCATAATAGAATCTTTTATGTACCCCTATTTCCAATTCCAACACCATTTACCTAATCTCGCTTTAGAGTTCATAATCATATTCACGACAACAACAACATACTCAATATGATTTCACAAGTAAGGTTTAGAAAACAGGGACGAAGCTACATTATTTGAATGGTGGTCAATTGACCACCTTTCATAAAAAATTACACTATATATATAGATAAAATATTAGGGTTTTAAGGTGTATAACATATACTAAACATCCGTTGTCGGAGATTTTTTTTCACTTCTTTCAAGTCGAACACTCTAGTAAAAATTTCTGGTTTAACCACTACTAGGGAGAGTAGTGTGTACGCAAACCTTAGCCAACTTTATAAAAAGAGAAAGACTATTTTCATAGACTTTTCGGCTCAAGAAAGGCAGGTAAAAGGAAAAATCCATGTAAAACACTGAAAACTTACATACATTTATATTGCAAGAGTTGATTCAAAACAAGTGACATAGGGTACAATATACATACATAGTTCATGTCCAAATAATAAGTAAAATACAAGCTAAAACAAGACAACCACAACATAAGGATCAAGCAAGAGTGTCATAACGATCACTTGGTGCTTCAGTCTCAGCAAAGATGATTATATAGAGAGCATAAATAATTCCAGGAACATAGCCTAATATGGTCAACACCAAGCAAATCAACAACTCCAACTGCAAAAATTTCAACAACAAAAAATAACACCCATATCAATAATTCCCTTAAAATAATCACCCAAAGCAAGTAAACTAACAAAATTAAAAATAAAAAAAAAAGATCCTTTTTTATTCGCCTTTCCCCTTTAATTTATGTGAATTTATTAGACTCGATACGGAATTTTAAAAAAAAATGCTTTTGAAACGTAAAGTATAAATCTTTTAAAACTTATGATGTAAAACATGACAAACCATTTGTGCTCCCGAGAAAGCTTCTCATTAAGAGTAATACACCATCTGATCGATATTAGTTGGCATATTTCTCTTTTACACGTCCTTAAAGAAACGATTAATAGAAGAGAATTGTTACTACAATACCCTTACTTATTTCTTTAATCATTCAACATATTAATCTCTCATCAAAATGTTCTCTTTATTTATGAATTTCTACTCTTCCACTTAGATTTTTTTATGCTAGCTTTTAATTTCATTGACACTTAATACTAAGGATACAATGGAAAAAAATGATAAATTATACATTAATGTTTTAAATTGACAATTATTTTGGACCAGATATATTTAGTAAGGAGTACAACTATTATGGATAGGAGGGAGTATTAAAATCCTAAACTAGGAGTTTCTTTATTAGGAAACGATTTATTCTTTTTAAAATTAACTAAAAAAATAGATTCACATAAACTGAAACAAAGAAAAAAGAGGAAGCGGGGGAGGGGGGATCTTACAGTGCAGCAACCACGGCGGAGGCAAACACCAAGAGGAGGAAGCAAGATTGCTAGTAAAACTTCACAGACAATTGCACATCTTGAGACCATTTTTTGGGGGGTNAATAGTGTGGCAAAAAAATGCAAAATATCTAGTGGCGTAGGATATTTCTTAAATCATAGTACTATTTTTTTTTAGTCTCTATTTCATGAGCTTCCACGTGGAGCCCTGTCAATTATTATAAAACTTAGTATATTAGAAGATAATAAATGTTTAACAAAATAAATAATTTAGCACATTTTCCTATATAGTGTACAAACGCTACAGCTCTTTGGATGATATGTCTTCTTTTCTTTTCTTGTTTAAGGTTAAAGCAATGTAATAGGGATAGAAAATAGAAAATGAAAATTTTGAAAAAATTTCTTTTGGAAAGATACTAAATCTTAATGAACAAATGACATTAAAAAGGAAAAAAAGAAAAAGGAAAGAAATGCAACAAAAATGTATTTTGTAGATATTAAAAAATTCAAGGAGAAAAAGACCCGAGCTCTTAAGGCGCATGTTAATCAGGAAGCTAACGTACGCACAACGACGATGTCCCGACGGAAATCACAGTAAATTGCACCGCCTAGAATACCGGAGACGGACGACAGAGGTAGAATGGTAACATCGGAATCAGGAGTGCCATAAATAATAGGTCAGATGCAGCTGGTTCACTGGAAGACTGGGATGGGAAGTGCACCAACAATCATGCAAGCTTCGAAATGTATCGAAGAAGAGAATCCCAAACCAGCAGAGATAGATGCCAATACTGCATCGAGGAAGCTGAATTTTTCAGTGCAACAAGCAAACCCTAGTCAATCAGAGCCAACTTTAGCTAATGTGGTAAAAGGAAATCGAGCTCAGCAATATGGGATGAAATTGGAGTACTATCTACCAACAATGAAGGAAGGAGTGAAGATTGTTCGATTGAATCAGGCTAAAGTAGCAGAGCAAACCCAGAAATGGAAGGAAACTTTAATTGGGTATGTACTGGGTGGAACTCCCTCTTTCAAAGAAATGTTAAAATTTGTATATGGGGTGTGGAATTTTATCACTGCACCTCAAGTGTTCCTACATGATGATGGGTATTTCATATTCAGATTTAGATCTGAAGATGATAAAAACATACTTATACAACAGGACACATATACATACCATAATAGACCCATGATTCTGAAGCATTAGGAGCCAAATTTTCAGATGAGCAAAGAGCTGACTCGAACAATACCAGTATGGGTCATATTCCCAGGATTCCTTATCCTATTTTGGACACAGGAGAATTTTGGGCGCATAGCCAGCTACATAGGAAAACCTATATATTCAGATAGACTCACATCAGAGGGGAAGAGGGTTTCCTATGCACGTATGCTGGTGGAAATGGATGTATCACATGAACTACCAGATACAATGTTCATAGAAGAAGAAGATGGGAAATACAAAGAACAAAAGCTGGACTATGAATGGAAACCAGTTTTTTGTGAAGAATGTTTTCAAATAGAGTATCATAATGAGAAATGTGGGAAGGCTTTACCAATAAGGCAACAAAAGCAAACCAATGCCAGTAATGATATTGTAGAAAAAATGGGGAAACAGCAGCAGAGTCAAGGGAAAGAAGTTAAACACCATAACAAAAAGCAATGGAGGGTGAAACATGTTGCTGAGAAAATACCAGTGCAGAAGGCACAGATTCCTGAACAACAACGGGAACAAAAGGATGGTCAAGTTCATAAAGAGCTAACGAGTGAGCAACCACCAATACAAAAGGAGCAGATTCCTGCACAAGTAGAGAAACAACAGATTAGTCAAGTTCATGAAGAGCAAATGATTGAACAAGAGATGGAGATACAGTTAGTTCAGAAATCTAGAGGCAAGCAAAAGATGAAAGCTAAAGAAACTACACAACAAAAGGGAGCTGATAAAGAGTTAGTGAATATGCTGAAGAGAAACAGATATAGTCCACTAACAATACAAGAAGATAGCAGCACTGAAAGAGTGACTGAAGGGATTGGCCTCAATGAGAAGAATCCACTATGATCATTAGTTCTAGAGCTATCAATATGGGCCGGGACAGGCTAGCCCAGCCCAACCCACGTGAGCTTTAGCAATTGACGGGTTGGGCTGGGCTAGCCCACCATTTTGATGGGCCTTATAATGGTCAGCCCATCCCAGCCCTATGTGGGCCGCGGGCACCCACGGGCCGGCCCATCATTTTTAAAAATATAATTTTATATTTTTTCTTTAAGTTCTTATCTAAAAAAAGATAATTATTTAAAAGCTAAAAAATATCTTATTGGAAAAAAATCACAAAACTTAATAACTTTTTATATTGTTCCAATATATCATAATAAATACTAAAAAAAGTAAAAGAAAGGACTATATTTCATTCACTAAAAGTCAAAACTTAAAACAAACTATTCAAGCGAACGTTCATGAAGCTTATGAGATATCCAACACATCATCTTCATCAAACACATTTGAATCCGCTTGTGACAAGGTTGACTTAACATCTTCACTTTCATCTACAATTTATATGTAATATTAATTAGTTAAATATTAAAAATAATTAAATTTTAAAAATTAATAATATTTAAATTCACATAAAAAAATATTACCAGTTTGAGTTTGGAAAAACCTGTGCAGCCAATTTCAAGTAGTAACAAGTGTTTGGACATTTTCATAATAAATGCAACTTCTGTACTTTGTAAGAATACGCCACCAATGCTAAATGTTGATTCCGATGGTACAATGATAATAAGAATGCTAAGTACATCACGCACCATCATTGAAAGATCGGGATATTTTCTAGAATGGTCTTTCCAATACATGACAACATCATCTTTTGAAACTTCTCAAGATCAAGTTTTGGTTCCTTTTAGTCAAGATCCAATTCTGACTTTTCATCTCTAAAGGAAGTATACTTTTTATTTTTTATATATTTTAAATAAATATTTTATTAGGCCCACGGGCCGGCCCGACCCAGCCTCAGTCAAGCCTCACGGGCCACAGGCTTACTCGGGNGGCCGGCCCGGCCCAGTCTCAGTCAAGCCTCACGGGCTACGGGCTTACTCGGGCCGGGCTTAAAAGCCTCGTTTTTTAAACGGACTCCAAAAATTCTAGCCCAGCCCTGCTAAATCACGGGCTGGGCTGGCCCAAAGCATATTGACGGCTCTAATTAGTTCTTGGAATATAAGGGGGTTGAACAAGCCCTACAAGCAAAAAGAACTCAAGGGCTTTTTACTTAAACATAACATAACTTTACTAGGGTGCCTTGAGACAAGAATAAAGCCTAGAAGTGTTAATAACACTAAAAGAAAGTTCAGCAAGGACTGAAAAGTGCATTTAGATGAAGCTATAAGTAACAATATGAGAATTTGGCTATTTTGGGAGGAAAGTATGGTGCATGTCAATATACATTTGGCAACTCCTCAAATGTTACATTGTCAAGTGAAGGAAAAGGGATCAAATTTCTTAGGATATATAACATTTGTATATGGGAAGAACAAAATCCATGAAAGAAGGGAACTATGGGAGCAACTAAGAATACATGGTAATATGCAGGAGGCTCGGCTAGTTATAGGTGATTTCAACAATGTTCTATTTGTTCATGATCGACTCAATAGACAACCTGTGCACTAAACTGAACTGGTGGAATTTTAAGACTGCATAAAGGATATTGGACGGGGGAAATTGACAGAAAAGGGTGTCAATGGTCATGGTGCAACAAAAGGGATGCAGAGGATAGAATCTATAGCAATATTGACTGGGCTTTTGGAAATGCTTCTTGGCTTACTCATTACAGTAGTATAGAAGTAGTTTTTGAATTGTCAGGAGTCTCTGATCATTCCCCGATCATTATCAACACCGATATAGCTAAAACTTATTTGCCAAAACCATTTAGATTATATACTGTGTTGCTGAATCAGAAGGAGTTTGATGGGGTTGTTCATGAGGTATGGAATCAAAGAGTTCAGGGACATACCATGTTCTCAATTTGGCTAAAGTTACAGAGGTTGAAGGATAAGACAAAACACATGAATAAGGAAATGTCTTCACTGGACAAAAAGATTGGCCAGTTCAGGAAACAACTGGAGAATGCTCAAGGAGAACTTGATGAAGACCCATTCAACATTCAACTAATAGTCAAGGAAAAGGAGCTACTATTGCAAATTGAAAAATGGGAAGGAGTTAATGAACATGTTCTGACACAAAGATCCAGAGCAATGTGGATAAAGGCAGGTGATCAAAATTCTAAATTTTTTCATGCTCATTTGAAGGCCAGACAATCGAGGAATAGAATCTCATCCATATTCCATGATCAGGGAGATAAAGTGACTACTCATGCATTGATAGACCAAGAGTTTAGAGGATTTTTCCAAATACTTTTGGGCACTGCAGCTACTGAACTACCCTATATTGATATTGAGATAGCTAGAGATAGTCATGGTCTTACCAAGGAACAACAACAACTTCTCAATACACGAGTAACAGAAAAGGAAATTGATCAAGCTCTTAAAGACTTGCCAAATGACAATGCTCCAGGAACCCAGCTGAATTTTTTAAAGCATACTGGGATGTAATTGGAGTAGAGGTTAAACAAGCTATTCAAGATTTTTTTTTTACCAATGGGAAATTGCTGAAAAGTGTTAATTGTACCACAGTAACATTGGTACCTAAAGTTGCAAGCCCAAAATCTGTCAAGGAGTACAGACCTATAGCATGTTGTACTACTCTATACAAGCTCATCTCAAAGATTATTACAACCAAATTGAAGTTGGTGGTGGATTCTATTGTGGGACCTGTTCAATCAGCATTTAACGAGGGAAGGAACATATTGGATAATATCATTATTGCACATGAACTGGTCAAAGGATAGGGTCTCACCAAGATGCTGCATAAAAGTAGACATAAGGAAAGCTTATGACTCAGTATAGTGGCCTTTCTTAAGGATGATATTGCTTGAATTTGGAATGCCTGTGAGGTTTGTTCAATTGATAATGGAATGTGTGACCACTGTCAGCTATTCCTTGCTATTGAATGGGGGCTTAACAGCTAAGTTCCAAGCAAAGAAAGGGCTAAGACAAGGAGACCCAATGTCTCCTTACCTGTTTGTATTGGTGATGGAGTATCTAAATAGGTCGTTAAAGAGGTTGAAGCACAATCCAGACTTTTAACTACCATCTAAGATATTCCAGAAATAACATAACACACATATGTTTTGCTGATGATTTGATCCTATACTGTAGAGCAGACAAGATTTCAATAAGCTTGTTACCGGATAGATTCACTCACTTCTCTGAGGTTTCAGGTCTCAAGGCTAACATGGAGAAGAGTCACTATATATTGCTGGGGTTCCTAGAGAGTTCAAAGAACTGATACTAGAAGAAATGCAATTCACTCTAGGAGAACTTCTATTCAAGTATCTAGGAGTGTTATTGTTTTCCAAGAAATTGTCTATACAATAATGGATGCCACTAATTGAGAAGATTACTGCAAGAATCAATTGTTGGACAACCAAATTCCTATCATATAGTGGGAGACTTCAGCTTCTCAAAAGTGTGATCTTTGAAATGCAAACATACTGGGCATAGGTGTTCCTATTGCCTAAGAAGATCATCAATTTAATAGTCACAACATGTAAAACTGGCAGTAATGAACCATCTAGGAGGACCTTGATATCTTGGGAAACCATCTGTATGCCAATGTCAGCAGGTGGACTCAATGTCTTGGATATCTACTACTGGAACAAGGCTGAACTCTGCAAATTGTTGTTGGCTATAACTTTAAAGAAGGATACTTTATGGATGCAATGGATCCATAGCTTCTATATAAAAGACAGAAGTGTCAAGATTATGAGCACTCCTAAGCAAGGTTGTTGGCTTGTCATGAAGATATTTGATGCTAGGGAATGGTTCAGTCAAAAAAGTCTCATTGATGATTTGAATAGCTACTGCAAGCAGGGAAATTCAGCATTAAGAAATTCTACAATGTATCAAGACCTCAATATCAGAAGAGTTCCTGGAAAAGATTAACTATAACATCCAAAGCATTGCCTAAACATCAATTCATTCTTTGGTTGGCATTACATAGAAGATTACCCACAGTTAAGCGACTACGAAAATATCAGTATCACAAGATTGTGTACTGTGTGGAAAAAACATTGAGGAGACAAGAGAGCAACTGATATTTGAAAGCTTATGGGCTACATTGTTGCAGTGGATAGGAGAAAAACATCAAATATGAAGCTGGGATGAGGAGATAGAATGGATAACAAAAAGGGTTGCCAGCAAAGTCAAGGGAGAAATGTTAGTATTTCTATTTGCAGCAGCGGTCTACCACATATGGGCAGAAAGAAACAACAGAAGATTTCAAGGAAAAGAGACAACATGCAGCAAGAGAACCAAAGAAATTGTACTGGATTTGCACATTCGAGGGTTGACAGAAGCTAAATGGCAAAAAGAGTTAGAAAGGCTAAGTAGGTACCCTAACTAATTTAAGTCAAAGTCTAGACATAAGGAGCTAGGTACTCTTTGTAGCAGCAAATGTTTTTCATCAATTTCAGTTGGTTTTTGATCAGTTTTTTTTATAGAGATATTGTATAGGATCTAGCTCTAGAGTCCATATGAGCTAGCGGATATAAATATTATACTTGGTTAAGAAAAAAAGACAGTTTAACCACACAAAAAAACCTATATTACGTTCTCTTGTTCCGCAATTTTATTTCTGAAAATTTTACATATTGTTCTTCAAGTTTTGTTTCACAAATCTCTATGTATTTTCCTTACATGTGTATTCAAAATGCAAAATTTATATGGCGTAATAAAGTTGACAACAAATATGCATGGGAAGTACGTTTACTATTAGAATATTTAAATAAGCGTTTCAATAAAAATTGTTGGTAACGAAAAAATTTATTTGGAGGCGAGATAATGAGAACTCTACAAATAAATGGCAATATATGATACAACATCTTTTATAACAATATTTCTCTTGTCATATGCTGAAAATAGTATGCACATGTCTTTCCAAGAGAAAAATAATTAGAAGTAGTTGTTGCATCATCCATCTTTTGACATCCAAATCACTCCAAGGCCTATGTATAAATTCAGAGGCGGATCTAAGATTTAAATTCTATGGGTTCAACTTTTAAAGATGTTATCATTGACCTCATTATATTTTTAAAGTTATGGGTTCATATCTACTATATTTATGATTTTAATGAATTTTTACATATAAATTTTTATTCCGCATCAAAAGTTATGAGTTCAATTGAACCCGTAGATAATGCATTGCACCCGCCCCTAATGTATTTGTCTGTAACCTTGTATCTATCTCGATATCAAGAATTCATGATACAACGTTGATTGACGATCTGATAAGTAAAATCTCACAATCATCATTGCTTATACTCCTAAATGAAGCGACTTGATGAATAGCCTGTTTGGCCAAGCTAGAAAAATCAGCTTATTTTGAAAAGTATTTTTTTCAAAAGTGCTTTTGAAAAAGTACTTTTAAAGTAAAGCAGTTTGTGTTTGGCTAATCACTCTGAAAAACACTTTTGAGTAATAATTTATATTTGGACACTTTTGAGTAATAATTTATATTTGGCCAAACTTTTCAGAAAGTGTTTTTAAGTATCAAATTACGAATAAGGATATGAATAGATTTACTTAATAGTTAATATTTAAATAAATAATCTCAAAAATTTGTTATTACAGGCAATAATTAAAATCTTTTCATTTTATTTAAAAAAAATGAAAATAAAATTAAAAAGTACTTAATTCTTTTAATATAAGTTAAATATATTAAAATTCATTCAACAAATATAAAAGCATTCATCCCAAAAGTCACTATATATTTTTAAGTTATCCTAAAAATAAGAAGAAATACTTATACATTAACATCCTAAGTATTAGGTTTAACGGTTATTTTGGTATATACTGTACTATATTTTGTTAAGGGTATTTTAGGCAAGAAGAAAAGTCAAAATTGTTTCTGCTTTTGAAAAGAAACGACTTTTTTCTGCTTCTTCCCAAAAGCATTTTTTTCCCCAAAAAAAGCTTTGCTAAACGCCTAAATTAGGAAAAAAAGTACTTTTGAAAGAAGAAGAAGAAAAACACTTTTAACCTCTTGAGAAGCTTGGCCAAACAGGCTAAAAGTTGGGAGGAGTGACAATCCAAATTACTGCAAATATCATTTGGTCATGAGTCCATCTACAACTCTATTGAACGATGTGAAAACAAAGACTTCTTAGGTTCATCATTACTAAAAGAAGTCAAAGTTGACAAAATATTTCTATGAAGATAACAAGAATTCATGATACAACGTTGATGGACGATGCAAGTAAAATCTCACAATCACCATCGCTTATAGTCCAAAAGAGCTCACTAAATCCCCTTTTAGATAAATGGATGCAAATTGACGCTCCTCGACAGACGAGCCTAAACTGTAAGTTACAACGCTCCTTAATACACCAACCTAACGCAAAACTCCTCAAAACACGAGCTAAATCTTTAAACTTATGCTCCTCAACGCACAACCTTAAATTGCATGGTATTGCGCTCCTCAAAGAACGAACATATACTTCATGTTACACTTGATTGACATGAATATATACTGTGTATCAAAAAAATAAGAAGGCAAGAAACAAAAGTTTGCTAGGTTAAAACAACAACAAGCCCTGTAAATGACAAAGAGACTATTTCCGATAGACCCCCGGCTGGAGAACGGACGACAAAAAAATGGCCTAGGCAAAAAATTAGGTTATATAACTACATACACATATATTTAGGCAACACCACAGTTTAGGCAACACCACCAAGTTAATCTTGAAATACTGTACTACTAAATCAGAAAGCAAATAGCTAAATAGATCAAATTACTATAATTAGGAGCTTATATAAATAGAACATTGGTCTATCTCCACACCAAAATAGAATCTTTTATGTACCCCTAATTCCAACAGATTGACACTAAGATCTAATCAAAACAATGAGAAATCATATAAACATCTCCAAAAAATAAGGGAACCAACAACAACAACAAAAAAAATCCAGTATAATCCCACAAAGTAAAGTCTGGGAAGGATAGTATATATGCAAACCTTACCCCTACCTTGTAAAGGTAGAGAAGTTGTTTCCGATACACCTCGGCTCAAGGAAAAAACTGCAATAAGGGGACCAATCATAAATTTAAACTTTAACAGTTGATTCAGAACAAGTGACAACAACAATAACGACCCATTAAAATCCTAATAATGGGGTCTGGGGAGGGTAGTGTGTACACAGACCTTACCCCTACCCGAGGGAGTATAGAGGCTGTTTCCGAAAAACCCTCGGCTCAAGAAGATGAAAAGAGACAATATACCAGTACCATCAACAGAAGCCATAGGAATAATAAAAGCATCATAAAAACTAGAAAATAGATGAAAAAGTAATAATCAGTAAATAAACCCGGCACTATGAAAAAGGGAATTCAGGACAAGTGACATAGGGTACAATTCATCCAAAGTTCAAGTCTAAATTACAAGCACAGAAGTAAAGTACAAGCTGAAACAAGACAACAACAACACAATATGAAATGGTGTATTCAATAAGGCAAATGAAAAAGATTAACAATTATAGTGAAATTTTAAGCAAGATCACGATAATGATCATATGGTGGTTCACGGTCAACACAAAGGATAGCATACAGCGCGTAGATAATTCCAGGAACATAGCCCAATATGGTCAACACCAAGCAAATCAAGAACTCCACCTGCAAAATATTACAAAATCTTTTAAAAAAAGACCACATCACTAAATCCCAAATAATTGATTCATTTCTCAAATACCCTTTTCAGTTCATCCCCTAAATCAATCACCCAAATCAAAGTTTTAAAAAAAAAATTGAATCTTTTTACATATTTTGGATTTAACTACAAAAATTAATTAAAAAAAATCACTTCACTTAATTCCCTAAAAAATTGACTCATTTCTCAAATACCCTTTACAGTTAATCCCCAGAAACAATCACCCAAATCATAGTTTTTAAAAAATATTTACAAAAAAAGTTGAATCTTTTTCATATTTTGGAAAAAATTATAAAAATTAAATATAAAAATACCACATCATTAAATCCCCTAAACAATTGACCAAATCTCAAATACCCTTTTCAGTTCATCCTTAAAAACAATCACCCAAATCAAAGTTTTAAAAAAATACTAAAATATTGAATCTTTTATCAATTTTTTGAATAAATAGAAGAGAAAAGGGAGATCTTACAGTGCAGCAACCATGGCGGAGGCAAACACCAAGAGGAGGAAGCAAGATTGCTAGTATAACTTCACATAGAATTGCACATCTTGAGTCCATTCTGGGGCAGTTGGNTATTTATATTATCTGAAACAATGTCTGAAATGAGTTGGCACTTGTCATAGGAAAATTTCTTAAATTTTGCTTTTTGCTTCTAAATTAAGAAAATGCAAAAGTAACGGGAATTTCTTTATTGCTTAAATAGGAAAATTAGTATATCTATATATTTTTTTCTTTGCTTTACTATTCGGTGTACTCAGGGTCTACCGAAAACAATCTCTCTGTATTATTAAAGACAGGAGTAATATCTGCATATACTTTAATCTCCCCAGACTCTACTTATAGGACTACACTGAATATGTTGGTTTACAATTCGGTATCTCAACTAATCAAGACTCGCACCAAGCAGTGGCGAAGCCACATGATGATAAGGGTAGTCAACTGACCACTCTTTGTCGAAAAATTGCACTGTATACATAGGTAAAATATTATGTTTTAAAGGTATATAACATATATTAAACATCCTTTGAAAAATTTTCTAACACCAAGTAAGGTCTATTAAAGAAAAAATAGTCTCCGTAAAAAAAATATTATTTCTAAAGTTCAAACTCGAAACCTATCATTGATGCTGAACGACAGGGGTCATATTCAAACCACAACAGCTTTTGATGATAATATATTCATCTGATTAGGTTTAATATGAAAGACATGGTATTTTCATATGTAGATTGACCAAATATTAGAAGGAAAGGAAATTAATGTGAAGGATAACGACATGAATTTTATTTTTTCAGTAAGTGGAGAGGAAGTCACTAAGGTCTTTATAATTTGTTCACACATGATCTTTCACATGTCTTGATCTGCTATATAATAATTACAATTTTAACGAACAATTATAAATAACTTAGGAATTAAAGAGAAGTGAAATGGTTATCACTTATCCCCTAAACTTTTAATTCTGGTTACAATTACATACTAAATTGTAGGTTATTGGTATAAATAATTTTATTTATATCTATAAATATAACTTAATTTCAAAAAAGGAAAAAAGACAACAAAAATTTCAGATATCTTAGGTGGGCGTTTGGACATAAGAATCGTAAAATTCCAAGAAAAAATAAATAAAAAAATTCAAGTGGAAATGATATTTGAAAATTAGAGTTGTGTTTGGATATGAATATAATTTTTGGTTGTTTTTTAATTTGTGTGAGTGATCTCAGAGAAAATTTTGAAAAGTAACTTTTTGGAGTTTTTCAAATTTTCAAAAAATTCCAGAATTCATCCAAACACTGATTTCGAAAAAAATGAAAATTTTTCGAAAAAAGTGAAAAACTTTTTATGTCCAAACGGACTTTATACTCAGTCTCATTTTCTATTTGAAAACATCCAATTGATTGTGTTTTCATTTTTTAGTGGGAGAATCGACAACAAATGTAATGGGGGCATTTGCATCTATACCCGCTTTTTTGGGTCATGTTTTAACTTGTGTTCGCTTTGCAAAAAATATTGCAAGCGTACCTGCCTTTTCGCGTAACTTCAGCATACAGGGCTGAAGTAGCAAAGGCAATCACGCAAACTTCAGCATTCTAGTAGACGGGCCTGAATTAGCAAGTGTGCTGAACCAAATATGCTGAAGATTTTGTTTGTAATTGTTGAATTTAAGCATAGCTGCTGAAGTTTTGTTCTCTATTTGCTGAAGTTTTTGTTTGTAATTGTTGAACTTAAGCATAGTAGCTGAAGTTTTGTTCTCTATTTGTTGAAGTTTTTGTTTGTAATTGCACTAAATAAGCTGAAGCTTTTTTGTCCTGGATTCATTAGTTTTGTCATTAAGCTTTTTCAAAAACTTCAGCAGAAGATGCTGAAGTTATTTAGTTCATTTATAAAAATTTCAGCAATAAATAAGCTGAAGTTTTTTTTGTCCTAGATAAGCTTTTTCAAAAATTTCAGCAGAAGAAGCTGAAGTTATTTAGTTTACTTGTAAAAACTTCAGCACTAGAAGCTAAAGTTTTTTTGTCATGGATTCATTAGTTTTGTCATAAAGTTTTTTCAAAAACTTCAGCAGAAGATGTTGAAGTTATTTAGTTCATTTGTAAAAACTTCAGCACTATATAAGCTGAAGTTTTTGAAAAAGCTTTCTAACATACTAGATAAATAATTAGATTGCCAACAGTATCTAAATCATAAATTTTGGAAACAATAAATGTGAAAAGAACAGAATTATCATTGTCTACTAACTTACGTACGTGGAAATATTCACAAATTATTGTCTACTAACTTACGTAATTATTTATAATTTATTTTTAAATAATCTGATAAACATATTTATGGCAATCATCCCATGAACTGAAGTTTCATAACAGCACCAACAACAGCAGCAGAAGAAGAAGAAGAAGAAGGAGGAGGAGGATGAGGAGGAGAAAGATGGTTGAAATTGTTTAAAAAGTGGGTACAAATTAAAACTTTTAAAAAAATGGGTATAGGTTAAATGGAGGTGACCAAATAGAGCGCCCCGTGCAATTTTTACAACGTAATGCATTGATAGTCGGTTCAACCAAATTTATGGCCCGTTTGGCCATAATTTTTTTCTTTTAATTCGATTTTTTTTTTTACTTTTTTCGAAATCAGTGTTTGATCATAAAATATTGTATTATCACTTGAAGATGAATTTTAAAATTTTTCAAAAATTTGAAAAGCTCTATTATATTTTAAAATTTTCACTCCAGATCACTCACAAATTCAAAAACATCCCAAAATTGTATTCATATCCAAACATAACTCTAATTTTCAAATACTATTTTCACTTAAAAAATTACTTCTTTGAAATTTTACAATTCTTATGTCCAAACGCCCACTTAATACTTATATATAAAAAATTATTAAAAATTTTATCACTAAATTTTTTAACAAAATATTAAATTCTAAACTTGTCTTTATAAAATTACAATAATTATAATGTTAACAACTTTAAAATTTTAAATTCTTTAAATTTAAATTTTAAATTTGCTTTCAAAAAATGGAGCAGGAAAGTCAATGAAACATATATCTTGATTACGGAAATTTCCATTTCATGACACATGTAAATAGATCAAGGTGTTACTTCTAAATTCGGGCACGATCATACTCATAACAGGATCATTGGCTAAAGATGACATAAATGATGGAGTTTGGTAGGAGTATTTTTTTTTACACACCCATTTTTTCGGAAAGGAGACTTGACGTAATTGGTAAAATTACTGCTATGTAATTAAAAAGTTATGGGTTCGAGCCATGGAAACAATCGCTTGCAGAAATGCAGAGTAAGACTGCCTACAATATACCTTTATGGTCCGACCCTTTCCCGAACCCCACGCATAACGGGAGTATAGATAGTGGTTTAATGCCAAGGCCGACGACGGAAGCTCGGGACGGAGCCGTATGAGGCGGAAGTCTCACGTACGGTTCTCTAAGAAGGGAGTGGCTACCTACAGGAGCTTCGACCAAGCACCACCGGTCAATTCCGCTTTGGGGCCACCCCTGACTCTACCATTATTATAGGAGTATGGGGTTCTGGATATTCCTCAATGTCCTGGCTATTTACGGAACGTGAGAAGCAGATGATTAATCATCTGCTTCCGGAAGAAATCGAAGAATTTCTTGGGAATCCTACAAGAGGTTTACTTATCCCACTCTAGTGCTGGTAGGAAGCCTCCTTTCGAGTAGTCTCATAGGTCAGACCGGTTCCAACCATTCTTGCTCCGCTCCCGGAAGGATTCCTATGGTTAAAAAAGTAAATCCTAAACTAATAACCCGATAACTCCAATAATCCAATTGTTGAATCAATTGGGACCTGTAATAATTTTTAGCAGAAAAAAAAAAGAAGTATTTTGTAAGCGTGCACCAGATTGCTCTTTTACACATTTTTTAGTTGTAGGTTTGTAACATAGTATTTGCTAATTTACTTTCTCTAGTAGAATTATTTTATTTGTTTCAAGAAGACCTCGATCTGGTCATCCAAAAATATCACAAAATGATGAAGTTGATAGGAACAACAAATAATTTTAAGCTCTCGTTTGGACACAGATATTTTTTTTCAATTTTTTTTTTTTAAAACATTGGCTGTTTATAGAATTTGATTAGTTTTTGAATTTATTTTTGAAAAATTTTAAGTTCCAAAAACTAACTTCAGTTTTTGGGTGAAATTTTTTCTTACACTTACAAAACTTAACATTTTATACAAGTAAAATACATGTTCAAACACAAGTTTAACTTCCAAAAACTACTTTTTAACATAACTTTAAATTTTTTTCGTTAATTTTCAATTAAATCTATGTCCAAACGCATACGTAGATTAATAAAAAGAGAATAGCAAATAGATCGAGGTACTCGTGACACAACTATTTGGACAGCAAGAGACCATGCAATATTAAGTTAGAATAATAGAGACATGCCAAAGATTGTATTAATTTGAAATTAAAGAGCCAAGTTTATCGTCTAACTAGTGATTTCTCTAGATCAAGTAATCTAGAATTATTGTTTTCCTATTATTCAAAATCAGAAAAATATAGGAGAGAAAATATAAATGAAAAGAGAAAATTAAAATAACTAGGCAGTGAGAGGACGCCATTCTTCATCTTGGTCATGACCACGAACCACAATAGCATAGATTGCATAAATAATCCCAGGAACATACCCTAGTAGGGTTAATATCAAGCAGATCAAGAACTCACACTGCAAATAAATAAATAAATAAATAAATAAATAAATAAATGTTAGTCAATTTCGTACATTGACATAGTTTGAATCTTGAGAAACGAAAAATGATTCATAATTTGGGTAGAATGGAGTAGGTTTTTACAGATATTCTAAGCTTTTTTTGGTCACTAAGCATGATGCACTAACTTAATACCTTTGTTCCAGTTTATTTATCGTAGCTTAACTTGCCATAAAATTTAATAAAGAAAGAAATATTTTAGAAATTTTGGCCTTAAACAAATCATTAAACCCTTAAGAAGTAAAAAAGTAATCTTCAAAACAATGAAAAAGGCGTTTACATCCCTCTTGAGAAAAGGAATTAATGTATACTTATAGCATGTTTGGTCAAGCTTCTTTAAATTTAAAAATATATTATTTTTTAAAAAAAATACGTATTTTTTTTAACAAAGTTAAAGTGTTTGGTCAAGCTTTTAGGAGGAAAAAAAATATTATATTTTTGAATAGAAGCAGAAGGAGCTTTGGAGAAGCAGAAAAAGTAGCTTCTCCTAAAAAATACTTTTTTAAAAAGTATTTTTATAAAAAATACAATTAGAAACACTTTTTAAAAGTACTTCTGAAAAAAATATTTCTCAAAATAAGCTAATTTTAAAAGTTTGATCAAACATGCTATTAGTCATCTGCCTAACTTATGTAATGCCAATTTATTTATGTAATGAACATCATTAAATCGACTTGTGCACCTAGACTGTTAAATCGGGTACCAAATAACTCAATCAATTAATGTTTAGACAGATACGAAGAAATCAATTTTTATCATGACCGCGAACAACAATAGCATAGATTGTATAAATGATCCCAGGAACATAACCTAGTAGTGTCAAAATCAAGCAGATCAAGAACTCACACTGCAAAATCGAAAAATAAATAAATAAAAATCTGTTAGCCAATTTCCTTTGTTGACAGAAAATCGAATCATTTTCTTATAATCATGGTCTTTGAATGAGGTTACGAGTATCTCGATTAATTTTATAGAATATTTAATACCTACTACCAGTATAAGTACCAAGTAACTCTATAAATTCTAATGACCCTAAAGAGAAATGTTTTAGCTATTGGCTTTCTTTTTTGGTTGAAAATTATTGGTTTAAATAAATTGAAAAGTATGTCCTTGAAAGCTTAAGATGTAAAAGAATAATGTTCAAATACTTAGGCATCTTCTTTATTTATTTGAAGAAGGTTAGTAAAACACTCCACATGCTATTTTTGTCGGAAGTGTGAAAATAAATACACTCATGTTACTAAGTTTCCTCTTTATATTCCGTTTTCGCACATCTCGACTATAAAATTAATATTTACTATTTTCCGCCATCACGAGTGTCGAGTGAATTTGAACCCAGATTTCGTATTTTCACCTACTTTATTGACCGCTAAGTCATATCCTAATTAGGTACTGTACAACTTAACAATACATGTCATAACTGATAATACTGAAGTTTAAATAAATTAAAAATAAAAGAGATTGTGTGGAGGTGGGGGGTGGGGGAGCTTACACTGCAGCAACCATGTCTAAAGAAAACTCCAAGAGGTGGAACTAAGATTGCAAGCAAGATCTCCAAGAAAACTTCACATCTTGAAGCCATCTACAAATTTGTTTTATGAGAAAAGTTCTGAAA